TAATTTAAGGCCAAGGGATCAAACGGGGAGAAACAAGAGATATTTGCTTGTTTGTGAGCCCAAGTAGCTGCAGTCAGTCGGCCAGCCAACCTTGACGCGAACGACACGGCTCCGTCCGTCGGTGGAGGGCCGGAGTGAAGGATAGGGAAGCGAGTAGACGAACAAACGACCGAAAAATAGAGAGGAAAGGCAAACGACCGCTCGAAGGCTCCATGGGCGACCGACGCCGCCAATATACGAGCGTGCGTACCGCCGTTGCCGTACGACTCATGTGGAGGACTCGCGAAACTCCACATGGTCGGACGAAGCAATCAGCACGGCGCTCACGCGGAAATTCTCGATGAGATCTGCATTTGACTTCGGAGGCAAACTCTTCTATTTGTTAGTCGGCTCGCTGCGGCACGCTCTGCAGGAGCACGGGTCATCCGTCAGCGGACGCTCCACTGGTCTCACTGCCCAGAGTTCCAGAAAGCGGGAACCCGCCACAACTCCCACGGTTTCCAGTGGGGTGGAGCTGTGCAGGTTTTCTTCCCCGATTTCCCCAACGCTTTTTTCCCGGGGAGTCGAGCTCAGACGTGTCTCCCCGGTTCGTCGTCCCATCGTTGAAATCACTCCTCGAACTCGCGGTCTCGATACATTGTGTCCCCCGTTCACTTGGACCCTTTCAGACTTCCCAGACTTACCGAGCATTCACCGGAACCGAGGTCGCTGCGGGTTCCAGACTTGGGTCTTTCTACCCGGGAGCGCAATGCTCTGAGCGCGCCCTTAGAGGATTACGTGCGACTACGGAAGAAAGCTGTTCGGCCTGAGAAGCTCGGTTATCGACCCGACCTTGACGGGCTAGCGGATAACTGAGAGCCATCCGTTCCGTTCGGCTCCTCGCGCATCTCCACCGAGCGAAAGCATGCAATTCCCTTCGCTCGCTCGCTCGCTCACTCACTCACTCGGTGACAACACCTGCATCCGCAGTCGTGGTAACGACAGCCGCCACAGCAGGTCCCTTTGCAGGATGGTCCTGATGCCGCCTGGCAGCCGCATCGGCAGGACATCCTCAAGGTGATAATGTTCGACCTTGCAGTAAATGGAGGTAGCTTTTTGCAGGAGCTTTTCCCGTCTGCTCCTCTCGCGACCCGTGCAGCAGGCTCAGATTGACGGGAGTTGGAGTATATCCGGGCTGAGTGCATTCGTTCGTTTGTTCATCCGCTGCATTACGCGAGCTCACGGTAGTGGGGCTGGTTCCTTATCACTGTGACACTATGTCACGCTGTTCTCATGGCACGGTCTCAGAAGCGAACAAAAAGAACAGAATAGCTGCCGGAGGTCACGCCGCCAGCCAATTCGCCCGTTCGCCTCCCCGACCGTCTCAGATGCTGACCAAAGCTCCGACTCAGCACACTCTCCGAGGGAAACGTTCGCCAACCGGCCGTCGAGCTTCGGCAGCGTCTGGTTCTTTCCCCCGTGTCTGGTTCCCCACTCTTCCCTTATCCTCCTGTTCCAGAGGGAAGAAGAGCGGGGGATGGAGCGAGGCTCCTCACCGCTGTTCCCCGTTTTCCCATCGTCCCGCCGAGGAAACGGATCCGGTCTCAACGGATCGGACGGCCGAACGCTGTCTAGGAAGCCAAGCTCGTTCGGGAATTAGGGGAAAAGCGAGAGAAGTTGGAAGGCGGTCAGTGATTTGGCTTATTGGTTAGTTGGGCAGAACCCATGTATCTGCTCCCTGCTCCGACTACCATGTTGATCTCATCGAGGAGTCTTCTTAGCGAGACTTTTCTCTTCGGCACCGACCCCTACGTACTCCCGAAAACTATCCGTAATGATATCAACTAGGTTCCGCCGCTGATTCGGCGGAGCATTCGCGATCCACCAAATCGGAGTCGCACTCGCGGTCGGACTCCATCCGTTAGAGCTGCGATTTTTCTTCGGTAATCGTCTCCGGAATACGGTCAAAATTCCACGCGTTCGTATCCACGGGAACCGTAAGGCTCTCATGCGCGGCTCCCGGAAACAAGGCTTTAGACCTGAGCCTGGTGGGACTGCCCCTCTCGCCAATTTAATTTGAGCGATTATCGGATTGGATTAATTCATGGGTGGGGACTCGATCCTGTATCCGCCAGTTATACATCGGAAGAGATTGTGGGTTTTCCTCCCACGCGCTCCGATGATCAGCTGACAATACGGCACGGGAGAAAGAGACACGAAGATAAGCGAAAACCAACCCGCAGACAGACCGACGAGCCGGGAGAAGGTCTTAATGGAATTATGGTAATGCTGTTTCCGGACCCGAGTCTTATCTCAAATTTTGGAATCAGTACTCTCGGTACGGCTGCTCCCGTATTGTACGTGCCTAGCGTATCTGCAGGTGCGCGCCGAGAACCGAGCCGGCCGCAGCTGCCATTTCCGTGGCCGTAGTGCGTCATAGGGAGCGGCGGCGATGATCGATGGTGTCTTTACATCAGCCACAATCAGTCTACGAAGTCTCCTCGGAAAAACGGAAATCTTCCTGGGCAAAGAAGTACCGAGGTACCCGCTCAAATCCAGAAGACGGGTCGAGATCGGCGAGGAAGAGATTCGCATCAAGGAGATTGAGGTTTCCTAGAGGAACACACTCGGATAATTTCATCGCGCACCGAGCTCTCTTTTCCCGGTCGGGAAGCTTCACCTGAGACGAGACGTCGATTCGGGTGATCGTGATCATGGATCGGCGCGAGCATTTGCGAGAGGGCAATCGCGATTTTCTCATTCCGAAATCGGGAGGACTTCTCCGGATTTCGGAGAGGGTAAATTGAATTAGGATCAGCTCTCGAGGCATATTGGAAGCAATCGATGAGATGACCTTATTTCTCGACGAGACGATCTCATTTCCTGCGTGGCTCATGTCCCATGTTGTTCTCAGATTTCTCCAGGCAGCGAGGCGTTCGGCGTTACCGCCGTTCGATAATCATTTGACAAGCGATACAGAGACGTTACGCTCTGACATCTGACGAGAAGTTCTTTTCCTCAATCCGCGGGAGACGACGATTTCCCTCGATCATTCGACGAGGGCATGACCAGAGCTAAGAATAGGTTTCTCTTCGCAGATGAAACATGTTATTCGGAATCTAAGAGACCCTTACAAGGCGTTCCAACATAGATTCTTCCCTCGGTTATTTATCATCAAAGTGTACGCCGGTGATTTTTCCGAGTTTGAAATTTATTTCTGCGAAATACACATTCTCCAATCATTGTTTGTCGGAAGCGTTCCGCAGTCGAAGGAAGCGACATCACCGATGGGAATCTCGTTGGTATCGATCCCGCGATCGCATGGATTCTAGTCGGGCGTGGAAACTCAGGGTGCGGCATCATCCATCGCGAGAGCACCGCTCCCGTTGGTTTTCGATTTGCGAATCACGTAAACAATGGCCAGCTCTAGTGTTTGGATTGAAAACAGATCCACCGCAGTATCGGTGCGAGAACGTTTATGCCGCCGGCCGCCGCTACCTTCGCCGTCTATCTACCATTGTCTTGTGACCATTCCTTGCGAAACACTTACGCGGAACCCATAGTCGTGAGCGGTACGATCCACTCACCACATGGGCGTTCGTTTAAGCATCTCGCATTCACTTATGGCCACAACAGTAGATGATGCTGCCCAGCTTGTGGTAGCTATACGGATCGCGAGAATCGTCCCGCGAGTTATCCTCGGCTCCGGACTCGTCTCTCGTCAGAGGAGACGAGGCATATATCGAAATCAGGAGGATGAACGCGACGGGGAATCCCTCACGGCGACCGTCGCGGGAATCCTGTTTCATTAAATCAGCCGAGTTCCCTGATCTTTGGCTCTGAAACAATTATTCCCAATATTACTGGAGCGGAGCCGGTGAATCTTGAGCGTGGAATTCACTTCGTATGTACATTCCCGGCATCTCAGCTCACCAGCGACGTGAGATTTTTGTGTGCGAGCACTCCCTCGATAACTCTCTTCATTCTTGGAATTCGCCTCGATCCCTACGAATGCCGAATCAATTCTACTGCTCCCGGCTTGGTTCCAGTGCCGGGCTCGATCCCATTCGGAGTCATATCAGAAAGCGGTAGAGTTTTGCTGCGGGTCGGCGGGTTGGCTGAGGTGGGTGACTTACCCTGTTGTCCCGCTTGGAACAGCTCTTGCCTCGGTAACGTTTCCCTTTCTTATTTAAGGGCTCCCTTTTTTTCTCGCCCGCTCCGAGCTTGCATAATGATTTCTCGGTCGTGTGTAACCGAGTGTGCGGTGAACGCGGGTACGGGGCTACGCGGCTCGTTCATACCTTCTTCCGTGCTCGCCTTCTGCAGTTTCCCGCCGTGCTTACGCGCAGAGCAGCGCACGGAGGAAGTAAGGCGTACGTCAAATTTTCGGAGCCTGTTCCTATTCTCTAAACTCCGCCTCGCTCCAAGCACGATCACCGTGACCTGCTCCGAAATCGCAGTTCCCTACCCAGTTCGCTATTTTCGAGTGCTACTCAATTCGTAGTTAATTAGACATTTGGGTATATCGTCGTTCCGACTGCACGCCCATCATACGAGCGAACGTACTTTTTTCATGACATTTTTCATATGTACGTCCGTCTGCCTCCAAGGTCGCGAGACTGCGGAGCTCCGGCTGGAGCCCGTCGTCGGAGAGCTGCACCTGCTGTCCGACAGCTGCTCGCCGTGAGCTGCTGAGCAAACTCATCAAGATCGCTGAATTGAACAGCCTAATGTAAACAATCGAAGCAGTCGATAATTTCCTCTCAGGCGTGGCGGTCTAGGGGAATTTCCATTCCCTTCGCCCGATTCCTGGACGGAGCCCTCTAGAGCGTGCTCGACCCCCTATCCCCAGGAACGATGATGACTCGTTATTCACTCGTCAGCAAGTCACAGTGGACCGAGCTGAGACTAAGCCATCGTTATGAACAGCAGCCACATCCTCGATGAACGCAGAAGGTGCTGCGTCCGCAGGAGCTCAGCGAGAGAAAAAAAAATACTCACCAAGGAGGGATCGAGCTTAATTGGTGCGATTCGAGTCCTCGTTTTCATTTATTCAATTTGGTTAAAATCTTTTTTTATAAACTTAATATGTAGACTTTCGTCGAGCAGCTCAGTTCAATAAGGTGAACATCAACATCTACCATCTACCACAATTTATAAGCTCTGTCGATGGGGTTTGCGATGATCTCACGTTTTCGGACGTCACCGGAATCATGACGTTTCCCGAAGCTAGACCGTGGTCATCAGTCATCTTTTCCTCTCCTCCATTCCGGTTGAGATCACTTTCTACGCAGCGAGGGCTGAGATCTTCTTGGAGTTTGCCTCGGATGCGAGCCCGGATATTAAAAAAGCGGACGGCTCTTCAAGCATAAAATATCCGGAAAATCGACGAGATTTTCTTACGGCAAATCGGACACGCATCCTGGCGTTTGAGGAGCATTTTGCCGCAGGTAGCACACAGGCAGAGATGATGACACGGGTGCAGTACGCAGTTCCGCTCCTCGTCCATGCACACCACGCAGTCTTTCTCTCGGGATAGGCCATCCATCAATTCGGAATTGAGCACCCGCTCGAGGTTCTCGTGATGAGTGAGGTCCGGTACCAATAAGGGAGGTCGGCGACGGGCGGTTTGTTGGAAGATGTGCACTCTCGTCACCCAACGGTACTCTCTTTGAGCCTCGCTCAGCACAAGCGGGAGGTTTCCCGCGCGGAGAAATGCAGTCTTGCCCATGCGCTCGAGAAATTCCCGCGTCCGGGTGAGCGTGTCCATTGAAGTTTCCACAGCCAACTGGATCTCCACCTCGGAAACGGTGAAGACTGGAAACAGGAAACGCACTCCGATGCAGCGCTCCTTACCGGCAGCCCGTTCGAATATCGAGTCTATGTTTAGATGCATCGAACTGGAACCGATGATTGTGGTAGTTGGGCACAGGTGGGAAACTTGGGTCAAAAGTTCACTTTTGCTCGAGAGATCCTCGACGATTGCCTCGAAAACAAAGTCGGCCGAGCGAACCGCTTCCTCCAGTCGCGACATGCACAGTACGTTGCCGACGAAGTTCGGCTGGTTGAGCAGGCCGTCTTTTCGTAAGATTTTCGTGTCTTCCGCAAGTCGCAGCAGTAACTTATCCAGAGCTTCGGGATTGCTATCGAACGCCCGGACTTCGTGGCCGTGATAGGCCAAGTCGCCGACTATTTTCGAGCCCAACACGCCGCAACCGAGCACCGCTACGCGCACCATCGCTCCGTTGTTCTCGCGGCCGTCGAAGCGACCAAAGGACTAGCTCAACGCTCCTTGAATTGACACACGGCAACGGATTATTATTCGTGAGACCGTCGACGGGTTTGGTATTGTCAGCCGACTCCGATGACGTCACAAGGCGAGTCCACTCGTTCGAAACGCTCGGCCGAGAAGTGCTCAGTCGGAGCTGGCAGATACTCGGAATTCCCTATGATTTAGAATTAAAAACTTGAAAACGTGTCACGTTCTACGTCAGCTGGCGAAACTTCACTTCCGAGAAACGTTCAACGGAGAAGTCAGAAGCTTCCGGACTCTGTTATCTCGCTCTGGAGCACGCAGTTCAGAATCGTCTCGGATCGAATCCTGCGTTTTTTTTCGCGATTCTGAACTTCACTGTTAACCGGCTCGGCGTTCCGAACACATGGCTCACCGAATCCCGCTCGTTCGCGGCTTTTTGAGTCGGTCTGCTTCGAATTCCAGAATGACGTCCTCGCACGCAAGTCTGACCTGAGAGACGTGCAAGTGCGAGTTGCCAATTCCCCTCTGTTCTGGTGTTTCCAGAAGCACACAAGTCGACGTTCGTTGTTTTCGGTGGATATCTCCGCTAGCTACCGCATTCGAGAGAAAATAAATGCCGTCGGGGAAAATGCGAGCGACAACAGCTGAGAATGTCAGGAAAACGCGCAGCCGATCGTCTATGAGGTCGCCATAGAAACTCTCGAAAACACTCGATGTGAAGTCGCCGTCGGACTCACGCCGCCACTGCCGTCGGTGGTATCCCCTCAGCCTTTCGCACCTCTCTCGCTGCGCGGTCTTCCGTGACAAATCTCTGTGAGTCTCGACTCGCCGTCAGATGTCTCGGACGATTGACAGGGCAAGCACGGAATTATTCCGTCCGATGTTTAAAGGAGGGCCGATGCTTGTATCCGAGGAACTCCGTCGTCGGATGGAAGCGATTGATGCGCGTGAATGTTTTTTGTTTCCGTTGACGGCAATGACATCGAGCCGCTGAATCGGAATTGATCGGAAACGCTCTACAATGCCAGAAAAACGAAACAGGGGCGAGTTCCCTCGGGTATCGAGATCGAAAGCTATCGACACTTCCGCTCCGCGACTCGGAACGAACCCGGTCGTCGGGACAGGCAAATAAAGCCGGAGCGAGAAAATCCGACTCTCGAATGATGAATAACAATGAGGTACAAACCGTCGAGGTTCCCCGACTGGTTTTGACAGACATAGCTGGATGGATCTCGGAGCAATAGTTCCTCGAAATCGAGACGATCCCCCGACGAAGAGAGGGGATAGCGATCACTCCTTGAAGAAACGCAAAGGGCTCATGGTTGAAGAGCTCATGAAACTCTATTGCGGTGAGCCGCGGTCCGAACTCTGGATAGAGCAGCGATAAAACTATGCGCGATTATCGGCTGAGATGCTTTGGGATGAACGTCAGCTCCCGATGCGCTCGGAACCTTAGGACTCACGGAAATTCAGCATCGGATTTCATGAGGCGGACATTGACGGTCGAGATAAAATTTCGGGCGCGTCTCCAGAGCTCTTCCTGAACTCCGACGGGAAAATTCAATTGAACGTCTTCTCTCAGAGGATAAAAGCTGACATCGTATGTATTGAATTCAGCTCTCCTGAACGGTGATTGGGACTCCGAGAATTCAGACTCGAGAGACAAACCAGAGCCAAGTCGTACGCGGAAGCTTCGCCTCAGACTGGAAGAAAACCATATCCCTGATATCCTGTCTGGATACTCTTCACACTACGCCCCGCCTTCACTCGTCCTGGAAATCTCGGGGATCCCGTCCTCTTTTCCATAATTGACAAACAGCTTCAGATCGCAAGATCATTTCCAGCTGGAGCTGCGGCGCGATAGAGAGCGCTGAGACGCGTTTCTCGCGGGAAGCTTCTCCCCCTCCGCATTGAAGCAATTGTTTCTCGGCTTGTCAACTGCTCTTGACAAAATCCTGAGATGTTCTCCGCAAGACCTCGGTTTTCTCTCCGGTCGCTCAACAAGCCCCGATCCTCGAGTTTTCCCTGTCGCGAGCTCTCTTCAAAGAGGATCGCTGGAGGATCTCGAGCGGGATCGAGTCGAGTTTTTCCTTCATTTTCTTCTGGGCGAACGACTGAGCTTCATCGTATCGAGAATCCGGAGCTCGAATCTCGGGTTTCCCTCATAAACGCCGAGCGGGAAGATGCGGGGAGCGAAGAAATTAAGTTGAGCCTTCCTTCGACCCCGCAAGCATCGAGTAAGACTCGACTTATGCTGTGGATGTCACGCAGCGCTTGCTACCGCGCTTCTGAAAGAAATCCCAGCCGAGTTGCCGATTGTATTTAGGGGAGTTCGGTCGCCGCAATGCAGCTCAATGTGCTTGTTATGCAAACTCGGTGCGTCACACCTAAGCCCACCAAGCAGCCTGTCGGCAAGTTCTTTCGCCTATCCGTTCATCTATCTGTCGGGGTGGCCATCGGTCTGTTTTGTTCGCAATTGAAGGAAGTAGCCCGGCCGCTTTGAAAGTTCGGTCAAGTCCTCTACTAATGGCCAAGTTCTCAAGTGGGCAACGAGCGTTTCTCGGGAGGTGGACCAAGTCTCCCAGAAACGCGTTTCGAGTCCTCGAATACGAACGACCAAGCACATCAAACCTTGCGTTCCGACGTCTGAATCGCGTAAGGCAATTCCCATTATTCACCAATGTTTTCGTCCGTCTGCGGTTTTAAGGGAACGAGTTGAGATGAAGCTTCCATTCTCGGGCCTTCGGCGAACTAAGTACGGGAGTCTTGACCTTGAAAGAAACTCGGCTGGCTCGACGGAAGCGTCCCGTATCTCTGAAGACTATTGCAGTTGAGAAGAGACCGCAAACTGTCGATGAGGTGTCTGCCCGTTCCGTTCCTCCATCAATTTTCATTTATCCCCCGCAGGGATGCGAAAGCTCCAGAGTCGAGCCTCCCGGCAGCTCTGTAGAATTTCGCGTAGGCATCGACATCTATTGCCGTTTTATCTTTTTCCGATTCGCCAACTACCCACTGCCACTTCCACAAGCGCATTCAGCCAAGAATGAGAAGACGGCGAGGAACGACCGGGGAAAGAACTACCGAAACACCGCTGTGGTGGCCTCACAGGGAAGCGTTATTCCGTCTTGTTTGCGGAGCGCCATTGTGTGTACGCCCTACGTAGCTCCGAAGGGCCAGAAGACTCTCGAATGAGAATTCCATTCCAACGAACCGATTGGAGACCGCTCTGTCTTCCGCCTTTCGCTCGGTGAACGTCCGAGTCAGGCGGAAGCCAGGAGGCTCGCTGCGATCACTGGGTCGACTCTTTCCCATCACCGAACTGCTCGGAAAATTCGGGTTCGATCTATTTTCGTATTTCGTACCCATGATTCCGACCGAGGCTACGAAAGAAGTTCGACGATCGAGCCCGTCGCCCTACGCTCGATGCTCGATCAAAAAACTCATTACCTAATCTCATACAATAATTACGCCTGATGTGAGTTGTCGATGTGCTATTTTGCTGATTGATGAAAGACTGAGGTCCGTGAATAAGCGGACGAATGTGTACTACGGTATCATAAGGCGCGGCGTATCACAAGAACAATCGTAGTGCCAGCGATAGCAAAAAATCCGGGATCAATGTATTTGCCACCGGTATTAGTTCGCGGATGGACTCCGCGCGCTTCAGTGGGGGCGTCGTCAATGATATCCGCCCCGGTGAATTGTCTCGTGTCTGGGCTGCCTCGAGCTTGTGAATATGACACTACCCCTGCCAGGCTTATCCACGCCCCCCATTCTCGCAGTCCGTTAACTGGAAAACCGGAGTCCGGGGGGAATGTTTATCTGATTCTTTCCACCTATCTATCGGCGGCATTCGATGCGAGGTCGTAGACCAGGGATTCCTGGAAGTTCATTCTGTCGATGCCGTCATGGGCAGGACGTGAATGTTTTGTCTCCGTCGGGCATCCTTGCACGCATCAAAGCTCGGAACTCGGGTCTTGCTCCTACGGATCGATGCACTTCGACTCCGTCTCACGGGATGTTGAGAGTGGTTCGGAAGCTCCGCGAATTTTTGCGCGAAGAGGGGACTCCAATGTTCCGAGCGGACGTCGGCCGTAGAATGCCTCCTTTGTAGCGTGCTCTGTGAGTATTGATTAGGTGACTCTGTTCTGCAGAGTATTGGATGAGCATTCCAAGAAGCTCTCCCGGCGACTTCTCATGATTTAAAGTGATTTTTCAATAAGGACTTTTGCTGCTTGGGTCAAATCGAATCCAAGATACCCCAAACAACGGTCGAGAATCTCAAAAAGTTCCTTTTTGTCATGGTCTCGTGCGCGGATTACTCAACCGGGATGAGGTAGATACCAATCAGTAGGAAGCCACTCTCGATCGAAGCCTTCCAGAGCTCGGCTCGGTGACTGCATGCCTCTGTGTTACAGATCCGGTCGAGGGAACTGAGATCAAGGATGAAAAGGCGAGATAGAAAAGCCGGGATGTTGCATGGAGGATGTTGCGACGGGGTGACGAGAAAAATGGTCGAAGGATCCCCTTCCACCACGGAGAATTTATTTCTCGGAATGACGACAGGTACCGCCTACCTACAAAAGATCAGCTTTCAATCCATAGGAAATTATGTTTCCGATCACGCACCGTGGTGCTTCTCTCGAGTCCCTCATATTGTACATGTGTACGCCGAACACTGTTCTCGCGGTGTTTCCGGCATTCGTGCCCACGCGGATCTTTACGCAATTCTCCATCGATTGGGAAACAGAGTCTACACGTGTCGCCACCTGCACGAGAGATGGAATCAGTGGATCGAAGCCAACTTCGCGGGGAACGCCGAAAGATACATTATTGGAGCGAGGGCCATCCAAAGATTCGAAGATCCGAGAGGCATCGAAGGTCTCCGATGTCATGCTATCCACGCGCATTTGGCCGGAGCTGATATTCCACTCGAATCACGAGGCTCCCGAGAATCGCGCTAAGCCGTTTTCACGCTTTCAACCATAGAGGTCTCGTTTCATAAGTATCGGGGAATAGGCATCCGCTGCGCTGTCGTGAAGCCAGATGGTTTTCGCCGTTCCGATCACGAATCGCATCCTTGAAACGAAAAAGAATACGGAGATATCAATCGTCACGAAAGAGGACTCCGTCGGTAGAGATTTTCCCTCCGTTGGCTCTCAATGAAGAATGAGTTAGCTCGACGAAGCTTTCGCCGAATGCAATTTCCTTGTGATTAGATTTCCGAATGCTGGCGGGTCATCCAGCAGAAAATGGCCAGGAGTCGACGACGTGCGCATCCGGCGAATTCACCAAGCGGGAAACTTGGTTGAGAAATCGAGCAGGAGATGTATTCCGCCTAAAGAATACATCGAGCAACACGGAATTCGAGGCAGAAACGCGCGTACGAGCGATGGGGCTGAAAGAAGAGTTGTAGAGCACTCC